CTTCCCTCAATTAAAGGGCTAATGATAGCTATCAAAACGTCTGCCATTTGAAATAAATAAATAAATACAATAGACATGGAAAGTACATAGATGCAGAAGAGTCTCGATAAAAATAGACCACGTTAGCATGAAATACTGCCTCAACTTGATTCTGGCCCACGAGCCGACATCAGTTAATGATTCCAATGACTATTTTCGTTCTGTCCATTAATCGGTCGGCTTTTGTAGTATCGGCATGGTAGTTGACGTCTTCCTCGACAGCGCCTCAATATGTGCACGATAGTCCATCGGGTTAAGGTCAGGGGGGAGGGGAGGGTGTGGTTAGGGAAGTTTCGGAGGCCAAGCTAAGAAGTGATATGGCCCTAAAAATTGGGAAGCAACCAACTACGTATGACCTATTATTAGTTACACTGTAGTTATCCAGAGCCCAACTATAGTGATATGCGATTCCATGAGAATATCTAAATATCATCTATGACCTTCCTTCTTTAAAAGGCCGAGATATCACATCATTCTAGGTGGAGGGTGTACTTCTGTTGTCATGAGAGCAGGAAGAAATCTAGTCTGCATGACTCGAGGAGTGCACTTTGGAGAAGTCATCTTTATTCCACTTGCTGTGATCTCCTACATTGGCACAAGTTCCCCCATCGGTAAAGAATCAGACTGTTTGTTCCATTGACTTTACTTCTCTTGCATTTTTCACTATGATCTGAGTTTATGTGACCTCTTTGAGGAAATCTGAAATGCCACCATGATCACACCAGATTGGATGTAATAGTACTTCCTTCAGGTCACAACCTCGTAATCGCAAACAGAATTCTTCGCTTGATGCTAAGACTTTTTACAAAGTTGAGAGTTCATGGAGGAGTAATAATAATTTTATTATTTTTGATTGCCGGTATCAATTATTATGCTTACACGATATTCCCTTCCATAATTCAAGTGGGTTCCAGACAACTATTCTCGTTATCCTCAATTAAGTGAATACAGAAGAAGAGTTTCAACTTATGTGTATAAACACCTTTAATAAATTTAAAACAGGCAGTAAAGTATTATTCGGTAAAATTTATGCCTAAAATTCCATACATAAGCATATTTTTGCAAACATTGTACATAAACAATACTGTTAAAATGAACAAAATACGGGGTGCACGACAGACTTACCCTGGGAAACATACACTCATACGGCAAAAATGTCCATTAACCGGCAGTTGACTTCTGACTTCAAACTACCATGGCTCGACTGTATGCCATATTCGATCACTTCCATAGTACTCACCTCACCTTAACTTTTTCTCTACCTTTGTGTCCGTCTCTAGACCTTTTGTGACTTTGATGTTCACTCCCCCCCCCCCTCTGTGAAGCCAGAAGTCACCTAAAGGGCCTAATGATAACTATTATATAACTATGCAACTAACAAGCAAAATTTTATTTCAAATTTTTTGATAAAATTATTTGGCAAACGAGCCAAGTTATCGTTGGCATCGAGTAAAGAAAATTTATCAGAGTTCAGGTGGTCGATCACTTTGTCGTTTAACTTAAATGCTTCTGATGTAGGTTGAAAGTTAATTATTACATGAAATGGCAGACTCTATGAAATTTATCATTACCCCCTCAGTCATTAGGACTGGGCTTCGAAACAGGTGGATATTCTCCATTTCCTCCTGTAGGTCACATAGGGGGCCTGTGGGTTGAGTGTGCACTCCCAATCTGTGAAGGTGCTTCGCCAGCAATCGAGTTATCCCCACCGGGTTGGAAGTTAATTAATGTAAGTGACTTATTTCCAGAAATTAAAATCAGCTTTTTCCATTGCTACCGAATGCAATCTATTAGCTTAATTGCAAATGCATTTGCTTATTAATGAAAGATAAGCTCATCTTGGGGGAGGGGGGGGAAATCGAATATTCAGCCAACTCCTTTCTCAAATGAACGCTAAATTTTATGGGATGATGGTATTAAAATAGGTGTTGCTTATGTTCAGATAACTGAAATGAGTGTCAAAGTTAATAAAGAACGTTAAGAGTACAACCTGATCTCTGTACTCGGGACATTAATTGTTTAGAAAGGTGGAGGGGGGGGGGTTGAAACGGTCCAATTAACATGCAACTTTCATGAGCATTCGTAGCAGCTCGACAACCATCCGGATGACTCATCAAGTTAATTCGAACAATAAGTGCATTATATTTCTAAATTGGCATTTACAATTAAAACACTCACCGAACTGTCGTAGGTAAAATTTAATCCTGAAGAAAGTTGACTGGTTGTGGTTGGTTCTGTTAAAAGGTGAAAGGAAGGTTAATGATGCGTTTGCAAAGTGTGCAACCGAATTGAAACAGCGCCTACTTAATTCAAGTGGGAGATCGGTTAGAGTCTCAGCATCCGTCTTTTCGGTATGTCTACCTATAGGAGAAATTGATGAGGTGTGTCGATCATCTGACATGGGGTGCTTCGCTTTTAAGTCAGCGAGTTCTTGCTCTAATTGAGATGCCCGAGTAATTGCTGTTTTGAGCCGTTCTCGTACCTCCAAGACAAGAAGAAGACAATTTGAATCCCAAATCACCCTTTTGGTATTCATAATGGTCAAATCTTAGTGATTTGAGTGGGCAAATGAAATGAATAGATATAAAAAAATGGAGAAAAGTACAAGTACTAAAAATGACTGTAATAAATAGAAAAAATAGATAGGTTTGATTGCCAAAGTTAGGAGTGCTAAATCAAGGTGAGCGGGATCAAAATAAGTCATTCGCTGTTATTTGGAGGGGGGGGGAGATCACTTCGTTGACAGCATCAAAATGATTAAAATCTCTTTCACCAATTAAGATAATCTTGTTTGTCTTATTTTTTATTTTGACACACCTTTTCATCTAGGGCTTTGTGATGTTCAAAGAGGGATTTGAGCGCTTTGAGTACCTCGACTTCTGAGCTGATACCACTGGAACTGGAACTGGAATTTCCATTGTACTCATCACCTCCTGGTATTGTTGTTGTTGAAGCAAGATTGTGACGCTTCACTACGGTCATGCGTAGAGAGCGCTCGTGTCTGGACACCAGACATTCCAGGTGCTCAAGAAGAAGCTAAAATATTAAGAAAAAGCATTAATTGTCCACAACTAACCTCAATTCCAATTCACCTTGGTGCTGTTGTAAAGTACCTATTTCTTAAGTTAGTCTAATTATCTTTAACTAACGAAAACTAAAACATGACTTAGCAGTTCCATGACTCCTATGAAGCAAAAAACCTAATCTCAAAGCTTAAATTTCCAAATTAAATTAAATAGAGCATTTGTCCGTTTACACATAAATAATTGCGTATATACCACTTAATTGAAAGAAAGAAGAGCTTATTTGTTTTAAAGTTTACTGAGCCCCAGAAATAAAGGAAATAATGCTAAACTCCTAAATCGCGGTTGATGTAAGCCTGTTTGAAATCCAATTTGATTGTAATCTGAATAAATCTGTACAATAAATTGGGAACGCTGAATGTACAGGCACGATAAACTTGAACGTATTGCCCCAATGCGATTCGTAGATTGGCCTGACCATTTCCTTACCAGCCCCATATTGCTCTATATTGTCGTAAACACTTTGATCAGACAAAAAATTCCTTCTTATTGATTTGATTAAAATTTGTTAATTCAGGCTCGGTAGGCAAGCGATTTCATCCAGACATTTCGTGAGGCTCATTACTTTATATATTTCAGATGATCGAATATGTATGGCTATTGTTAAATGTTAACATGAACGCGCATTGTAAATTTTTTTTCATTTTGCAGCCTGTAGATTCATTTTTAGGTCGGGTGTAAGGTACTAGAGCCATTTGAAGCGTGAGGTGTAAATAACCACTGACTAGATGGTTTAGAATACAAGGTAGTAGCCCTATAATCCTCAAAGTGCATAATATTTTGCGAATTGGACACTTTCATCTGATTTCTTCCTCATCGGTAACCTCGGATTAGAACGAATTATGAGACCCCAGATGGCACCTCAGACTCTGTTGTCATAATCGGTACGAGAACTTATTGATTACTGTTTGAATGAACTACATATATATCCCATTTTATGAAAGTATATAATGTAACTCCGGTATTCCTGGCTGCCTGTTCCTAATCAGGTCATTTATTGATAAGTCCGTTTCACCACTGGTTAGTCTTAGCACTCTTCCCCCTCCCCCTCTACCTTGCTGCTTTAATTAACACAGATTCGAAACCTGAAATAGGACAAGAAAACACTGGCTATCGTAAAAATCGAGAATGAAATCCATGGTGGTGTATAGTAATTCCATTCCTTAATTAAGATTGACTGCAATATCATTGTCCTATTCATTTCTCCAATTCCTCATTTATCGCATAATGAGATTCATTTCTGTCGACATATAATTTATTACTCGACGCGCCAGGTGTTAATAAATTTCTCTCATTTAAACAAACTCTTGACTGTAGAGCTGTACTTTACTTATTAGACACGTTTCTTTTAATCGATTCTTTCCTAATATAGTTTTTCACCTACCATCTGTCTTCATCTTTCCAACCTATTTGCTGCAGGAAGACATTTAAAGTTTAGAGGTGTGATGGAGGAGCCGATTCTATTTGACCTAAATTTTTACTCCACTGGTATAACTTATATCTTAAAAACACAAAAGCCCAAAGAGGTGGTGAGTGGACAATGTAGAAGCCCCTGGGGGGGGGGGGCATTTGGTCTCATTCTTTGATCGCATTTATCCTAATTTCAGGGGTAATTTTCATGGTATACGAATCTATTGCAATGCAGTTCTATTTGAATTAATCTAGTGCTTTGTGTATGTTTCTTCGCGATTATTAATAGTTTTAAAAGTGGGAAAATTAAAAAATATAGAAATAACTTATCATCTCGATTTTTCGCATTCATTGTTTTCGTTGGTATTTCACGTTGGAAAACCTCTCCCATTAAATAATAGTATAAAGAAGGTTTGTGGTTGTTCTAATTTTGGAATCGAAACCCAGTGGTATTCAATTTGTTTAATTATTTATCGATAGTTTAAATATATTTGAACGAAGTGAACACTCGAGTGTTTATATGACTCATTGATCTTGGAGATTAGAAACCCTTAACATATTTGCGTTTGATATTGCCAAAACTCTAGTGTTTACTCGTAATGTCTGTGAATAATCCAGAGCTAACTATTAAGTGGCCTGAAAATATAGTTTAAGACAATGCAACCTGGTATTTTGATCCAATCGTAATTAAGGACTTTTAATTGATTTCGAATCAATACACCAGTGCCTGTAAAATTATAAATCTATGACTATGTTTTATTAGAAGTAAAAATAGTATTTTACTTCCCATAGCCGATTACTTACAATCAAATATATATTATTCATATTTCATACAATTTCATGCATTTAGCATTACCTTAGATAAAAAAATTCGTCAATGTTCAAGAGTGGGAGACTTATAATACCATTAAATTGGATGTCATTTAAATTTCCAATTTAAGGACTCAACTGAGCCTGATATTTTGATAATACATGTATCCCTCTTGAAACCCACTAAGGTCTCATAATGAAAGCAGGCACTTGTACAAAATAAAATTTCGTATTGCAGTTCATCGCTTTTAAACGCTTCCGCCATTATCCCTGGACAAATTCCATTTCAAATAGCATGAAACTACATTTGAGACAAACTACAAAGGTCCATCGTTAATAACTATTTCTTGGAATAATAAACTTCAATGTAGGCTAGCTTAGCCGTGAATCTAGGCACGTCTTGGCAGATTACGGTGAAAATTATGGGCAATTATTTTCATTAACCGAACACAATCAAGCATAATTCAAAGAAAACATGAAAAAAGGCAATTTATAGTCCGACTATGTTGTAATTGCCTGCAAGGAAGTCAATGGTAGTTTGATTGAAGTTTATTATTATCTATATTTTATCAAGCAGTCATTTCCTCCCTTTGTGATGAAAAATTCTAAATTAAGGCCTTCATAATTTCGTAGAAACTCATTATTGTGCTGTGCGCATTAATAGTGACCGCAATTCATAATTCAAAATCATGATTTTGTTTCAATTAGGCCAGATGATGTAAAGTTAGTTTCAAACACCTTAAATTACCGAAATTTGAACTTTAAAATACAAGGAGGGGGGGGGGGGGGGGGGGGGGGNGGGGGAGGGGTTAGGCCTCGTAACTTGAATGGAAGAGCTTTTAATTAATCTGTTTTTTGTTAAATGGCGCTGCCTTTTAGCAGTCGTATTCATGAAACGCAGACGTTATAGCGAGCCCTGGTTAATGATGAGGCTTATTGGCCAATGAAAAAATTTAGCATATTGATGCTTAATGCTACTAACAATTGAAAAAAACTCTCTTTCTTCTCTTTCATGCATTAAAAAAACTGTTAAAGTAGAAGTAAATGAGGACATATAGATTAGTACATTTAAATTAAAATTTTAAAAAGCTAGTGATAATTCAACTTCTAATTTGGGTGGTGCAGTTTCTTTCTAATAGTATTTGAGTTCCCGTGCGTACCGCTTATATCAAAAATGTCCTTTCTGATATCTCTCATCATGGGGTGGGCGATAGACTTACCTCCACGTGGTGCACCCTGGGCAACGTATATTCATACGGCAAAAACGTAGATTAATTGGTAGTTGACTTCTGACTTCAAACTACCCTCACCCCATTGTATGTCATATTCGACTACTTCCACAGTACTCACCTCACCTTTTTCCTACCTTCGTCTTTGAAGCACTCTTCTGTTGCCCCCCCCCTCCTCTCGACTTTTTTTCCACTTTGATGTTCCTTCCCCTCTGTGAAGCCTGAAGTCAACTAAAGGGCTAATGATAACTATCAGAACGCCTGCCATTTGATATAAATAAATAAATATCTCTCATCATAAACCGTAGAAAAATTGTTTCAATTAATTTGATTTAAATAATGAATTAAACTTACTCGGGTATTATTTTGCTCCGCTTTGAGTTCCATGACTTCTTCATTTCGTTGAGCAAGCTCTTCTTTCGTGGCATTGAGTTCACGAGTGCAGGTTAGAATATCCTAAAACAAATACGCTCGTGAGAAATAAGACATCTATTTGTTGCTGTTGTACCTATGAATTGAATGCCTCGTCTATTGTTCACTATTCTAAGTGCTACTATAGGTAATTTAGTTAATAATCAAGCTCACAGCAAATTCGATCAGATATTTCGTTATGTATCAGGGAAGTAAATTCACAAAATAGAAATAAAAAATAATGACCAATCAAATGCATCTTGAAATATCTTTTCGTTTACATTTAATGAAATGAAGTTTTTGCACCCTCGGTAAATTTGAAACATTTCGTTCGCAAATTTCAGTCTATTGTAAATTAGGTGATTCGTTTAGGGATTTAATTACAAGTTGCTACCTATCGTTACATCGACCTGCCACCAATCCAATTACATGAGTATCTATCTTTAAATTATTGCTATTGGTCAATTTAGGACGGTCTTATATAAATATCTGGTGGGTGTCTACGGATGAATTTGTGTAAATCTTCATCCCTACATCCCCGAGTCTGACACAATCACATTTATATACATACCCACAGTGCTTTGTATTATTCTTAATTCCAAATAAATATCAAGATATAACAAATCTATGCCTCATAAGAGAGGCGTTGTCCCAGAATCACACATTTGAAACCAGAACTGTTAGATCGTACGACTTCTCCTGTCATTGAATAAAGTTAAACTGATTAGTGAAGATGACCTTTGACGAAAAGTGTAAACGATGGCACCATTTACCTCAAATTTTACCGAATTAAGATTCCTAACAATTGAATGCAAAATTGCATGACTAAAAACTCATCTCATGAAGAAATTTCCTCTTTAATGTTTTTTTCTTCCACTGAACGAAGCATTCATATTTATACATCTTCCGCTCAAATTGTAGCGGCTATGAAGTTTGTTGATTAACTGATTTTAATATAATTGACTCATAATTGAGAATATATGGCTATGCACTTCTTGATGGTTTGAACCACTATTAACTTACCTATCTTACTTTGTTGTTGTTCCTTCAAAAAATATTTTTTTAGTTTGACCATTGTATTCCAACTCCATCCTCTTCCTAAACTCAAATATTTTTAGTACCAAGCAGAGGAAGGTTTGGTTTTTGACCTACTTTCCCTAAAATATTACCCAATGAACCAGATATCCTTGGTTTTCTGTGAGGAATGGCCGTTCCATTTAACAAATCAAAAAAAAAATAGACACCAACCATTTCGTTTTTGCATCCACCTAATTAAAATAAACACACGAAATAGTTATGACGAAACACTGAAAGGCATAACCTCGAACTTATTTCTAACTTCGAGCAGAAAACGATAGAAAAAATTATTTAAATTACGATATCTTGGAAATTCTACATTCAATTTAATGAAATCTCGTGTTAGAAAGTAAGATGAGCAATGCGACTAGATGATTGGCCAGAGAAAAATCGCAAAGAGCCAATAGCTATCTTATGCAGCGGTGATTTTATGAAAGCCAAATATTAAGTCCACGATTAATTAGATAATTAGTCCATTCGAATGAATGAAGAGGATTGGAACAAAAGAAGAGGGTGGGATTTAAGAGGAAATTGAAATCGGGATTTCAAAGCAATCAAAGGGGTACTACGTTACCAGTGAAGTAATACGTCTAATTGTTCAAGCAAAGTGACTATTCAATAAGCTCAAACATCCTGGACACTAATTTTCTCATCGATTTTGAATTTTGAAACGCAAGATTCACTTTGAATAAATGTTTTATAACTTGAATCCAAAAAAAGCGAATAAAGTATGCTCCTCTAACCGGCCACACTTCACCCCCACAAAATGACCTTCATCCCACTCCTTCCCTACCTCCCTGGACTTTATAGTTATCAGATTTTAGTTTGTTTTCACATAATGGTAAACTGTGCCATTTTTTACACTGTTTATGTCATAATGCTAATAAAATAATGTGAAAATTAAGCATAGCAACCTCAATTTACCTAGCAATACGAATTAAAAAAGTTTCAGATGGGAAAATAGCACTTTATATTCTGCCAAATGTCAAACGTAAAAAATGCGAATTTCATTCAAATATGACTACTTCTTTCCGAAAAAAAATACAATTTCAAATTAATAGCAGCATTTGCTGCTGTTGAGGAGGAGAATAACAGAACGCATTTGAGAGGAAGAAGGAATCCAAGGCGTCATTTGAGCAGAATAAACGGCGGCAGAAAGCGAGCAAATGATGCAGAGATGAAGCGCAATCCCTCAACCCTGCCTGTGCGCATACGCAATGGTGTTAACTCAGTTGCGCGAACGCCTACCTCGTGAACTGACCAATAAGCACATAAGGGAACTACCTACCCTCAAGGTCGCTCCTGGATTCGAACAAGTTAGCACATGGGCGGATTTCATAAATCGATAAACGCGGGCGTGACAATATGGTAGAGGGGGAGGAGATGATGGGGTGGCAAAATTCTACCTTCTCATCATCATCATCATCGGCGTCCAAACGTCACTCCTTAGCTTTCTTTTCTTCATCGTAACTGATACCACTCTATGCGAACATGCCTCCCTTTAAACCATGCCCAAGTTGTGACCTCAAAGTTAAATTCTCTTAATCCTCAATGCTCGATAATACTCAAATAAGAATATATTTTTGGATTAAATACTTGATATGCATCTTTTTACTCTAGAGGAGGCCGGATAGATGTCATTCTATAATAAGTTACCACAATTTTTCTGTTGAGGAGCCAACAGTGAGCTCAGAACACACCAGGTGAATTCAATTCAATGTAAATTTAGCGAATGTAAATGATTTTCTGTTGCGACATACGATGGGAGCATCTTGCTACGAACTGGGTAGTCCACAGCAGTTAATCTAATGTCTGATGTGCCAAACGATCCATTTCACATCGCCTCAAGTTCCAACCCCAAGAATAGAAGCTGAAAGGGATTTTGATTACACTTATTCTGCTGATAAATTTGTCTTTTGAAAGTTTACTTGCCAAAACATATTAACTGACTTGGATTCAAGTGCAGTAGATAGGTAGCTGTCTATTAGAGATGTCAGCATTTATTTGAGACATTCGACGACTCTTATCAATGAATATGATGGAATAAGTATTGGGGTGGTTAATCATACTCCATCTTCATCCTTACTATGTCCCCTACATACTACTTGACTGAAGATTAATTGAAGCTGATGGAATATTCAAGAGGTATTGGGTTGTTTCCATTAGTTTGTTATTTTTTTATCTTATTCAGGCATGGTTCTTACAATTCGCCATGTTCTTGAAGGTTATAATAACAGAAAAGTATGAATAAAGTTCGTAATTCCACTTATACATGAGTTGGAAATGGCATCGATGGATCTGCAGGGTGAGAAGCACGTATTTTATCAGCCATTTCTTTCGTCAAACTTGATCAGTGCATTTGGCCATTCCACTCAGTGGGTGATACACAAAAAATGCAGGAAACTTTTATTGATCTTGAGTTCAATAAGTGAATACTCAAGTACCCAAAAGGTAGAATTGGATGAATTTTATCAAATTCAAGGTATGCATGAAGTTGCGAGGCTGATGAATAATTTTTTGAGGACACACCTTCCCTTCCAAACCAATTCTTTTATTTCAATTCAATTAAAATTTTAATAAAGAGGTCATTACTATGGTGAGCGGAATTTGTCCCACTTTCCACTGCTTTGTGCTTAATATTTGGTGCTAACAGTCGCCAAATATTTAATTAATTAATGCAAGAAATGAGATAGTAATTATTGGTTGCAACTTCAAAGGTTGCCTCAATTCGAAATTATGTCATAATGATTTAAAGGGCTATCGATCGTATCTAGTACATGAAAACCATAAAAACATGAACCATTATTATTAACCACAGTAGTATTAAAAAAACAGGATTTTTAATTGTGAACAGCAACTGACATCGATTAAGGATAAGTCCAACAAATAATAAAAGGGAAGATAGGAAAGTGTCTTACTTCGCTG